ATAATATTTTAGTAGAAAGCATTTCTAGTTACATAAAAACAATATTTGTTGGGCCAATTACCCTATTTTTTCCAATTCACACTACCTACTATAATAATAAAGAGTTAGTTGCAAACTACAGAAAACAATAGCGAAGAAACTCATAAAAATCCCGAGGGAAACTGCATGCTATCTCAAAAAGTTGATACATTACACAGAAAAACACTATCAAGCACCCAAAAGTTGACCTCTTTCTGTCCTCGTGACCACAATATAAGCACTGATTTTAGGTAGACAGCAATGAAAGGAATAAGGAATAAAAGATGCAATTATCTTGATACCAATAGATACAGATTTTATAAGGATCAAACCGAGAGAGCGGTATTGAACCAAGTAGAGTTACAACTATTTAGAAATCGCTTATATACCTAGTATAAAACAAGATACAATTTTTGGTTCTAGTTGCTACAAAGAAATTTGCTTACAAAAACAACAATTATTCTATGTTTTTGTCCTTTCAAATATGGAACTTTTTCAATATTATGAAGTAAGGTAATTAAGAAATGTTACTTGAAGCGTCGTCAGTTACCTACTTAATTATCCAGAAGCAAGTCTAATCGAATAATTCGCACAATTTCATTTGGTCGTGAAAAAGCGTAGTGCTTAATGAATAACCAAGAAAGTTGAAATTAATTCAAAGAATAATTTTATTTTTAATGCAGGCTTTGAGGCGAAACCACGGTCGAAGGTCTTATTTTCTCTTTTGCTTGAATTAAGTTTCCTTTTTATATTTTTCAGTCCAAGGAAAATGGAAGGTAGTTAAGAGTGCTTTCAATGTTAAGATGCTCGTAAAATTTATGTATTTCCTATTAAATACGCTGTAATTGAATGCAAATATATAATAAATACTTAATAGGATAACCGAAATAGGTATATGTATAATTTAAATAATATCTTACTAAGACAGAATCTAAATAAATGATTATACAGATACTTTTTATTCCGCAACAAAAACCGTAGCTGGAATAATCGTTGAAATAACATCGAAATTTATTTAATTTGGCAATAATATTGCATAACATAATATGTATTTATATAGTACCGATATAAAATAAATAAATTACAGTAAAATCAACATGTTATTATTTTTATAAGTATAATAAATCGACGTGTTACAAATAATTTTACAAACAAATAGGTCCCAATATTCTGCGAACGTAGAGGACATAGCACCTTTGCCGACAAAATGTACCAAATCCACTATTTTTCCGAGCAAAAATATAAAAGTGACACCCACGGGATTAGAGGCGCTGTCTTATTTTTCTGCTGATATTTACGCAGGTTGGTCATAAGGAAAATGTTTCATAAAGTCTGTCCTTGATATAGACATGTCGGGGCCAAAATTCCCTCGTCTCAGCAAAGCAAACTTTACCTGGACGTGGAGATAATAAAAGTCACAACAGATATTTACCTATACCGTATTTGTCGCCAGTGACCGCTGTTATTTTGGATCAATACCAATATAGAATTTTGCACGGTAAATAACTGTATTTAAAAACATGGTCAACGTACGACACGACTTGGCACACGGTAGCGCCATTCGGTAAGAGATTTTTTGTGGATGTCGATAAAAAAGAGAAACCGACTGCGATATCAAGTGCCTACAGGTATAAAGTGAGGTCAATTAGCCGTTTATAGCAGATACATCAGAAATTAAACACGATGATTTCCGGGAGAACGCATGAATGTTGACATATCGACATTGTTGGACTCAATGCTCGCTCGCTGAGCCATATTGTTAAATTCAATGGCGCTATTAGTCCACTTTATAATCAAACCCCTTCCCCCAATCAGTAGGGTTCCTGTTCTTACAAATTAGCATCTCAATCAGCAGTGCTTTCAAAAGCCGGGAAGCTAGCCTTGTGTTACTGAAGTAGTAAATATGTTACCTACATATCTACATACTCGTATACATTATGTAGCTGACTATATTACTTTTTTTCAATTCAACAATGTAATATTTCGACTATAATAAGACAATCGAAATGTTAGGCCTTTCATTATGTGCAAACTTTAGGATAGTGCGAAAAGAGTTGTTTGTCAAAAATTCTAAATATTATTTATGTAGGTCTATTACAGACTCTTAGGATATATCAAATCTACTGTCAGTTCCGAATAATTTCGAGATAAGAATTGACAAGCAATTCAGCTCGTAGTGTTTTCAAATAAATGTTGTATATATTTAAAATAATACATAATCATTTTTAAATTCAAATTTGGGACTATAGAGTGACCACCTGAATGTGCTATTGCAAAAGTAAAGTCTAATCAGTGTTCGTAACCCGATGAGACCAGTCCCCAGAAGCAGCACCTGGTCACGAGTATGACGGATGAAAAGATTGTACCTATATCATTTAAAAAAATATCCCGTGATGGTAAACAACGTTAATCCATCAACACAGACGACTTAGTATAAATCGGCTTCTGTAATGAAGTATAATATATATCATATATTATTATAGTTATACTCTGGAGATGTAATTATAGTCATCTATATTAAATAATTATATTTATTTTTTATTTAAGTATCTCAACATTGCCATTTGACTGTTTTCGTTCAAACAAAAGTTTTAAAAACGTAATTCTGAACAATGTTTATTTAAAAGAGCATCACGTAAACTTGCTCATTCTTCTTTAGAGTCTACGATCCGTATTAGTGGTAGAATAAAAAAATAAGACTATTAAAAGTGCTTATTATTAAGTTTATTCGAATAAAGATTACAGAAAAAAATAGTAATTTTTAATTTGTATATATTACATATTCAAAAATATTGGTTCTTATATTATATTATCAGTATGTATTATTCATAAATTGTATTATTAGTAAGTCTGTCCAAGTACCTACACATATTTCAGTAAAAGTTTTCCATAAACTGGCCTTGAAGGCATTTATTATTCATACTACTATTCAACCGCGGCTTTGTCCGTATGATAAGAATAATTATTTTACTAGGATATATAGTTTGATAATAGTTTTTCTCAACCCAAATTCTGTGCGCCAACTGCATGTGGACCAAATTTGATCTGACGAACTTTTTGGTTTCAGTTTTAATCTTGAATTATCGCAACTGAAACTATGTTGCGTATTATATGATTTGGTCATGATTAATAAATAAAATTTAATAGTACCTACTACTAGTACATGTCCCTTTCTTATTAAAACACGAATTATATATTATAGGTATAGTTACACCTCTCACGTGACATAAGTATATATGTATATGAATAAAACTAAATAATCAAAGTAACTGATTACTAAAAATAGACAGACAAACTAAAATAAATGTTTTATATATCTATATATATATATATATATATATATATATAAAACATTTATTTTAGTATTAAGTACATAATAATAAAATAAAATGAACATTTTATTACCATAGAATTTAACTAAAACTGACTTTTTGTTAAACTCTTACTTAGTTGAGTCTGTAAGTTACTAAACAAAAAAAAAATTGAGAACTATTTATAATAATGTGGATATTATATGTTTATATACATAGGTATTAACTTTAACCATATCATTAATATTATCTATGTACACATGGCCCTATCTTATAAAAATAAAGGTGTGTCCTATACATCAGAGTCATCAAATGGTTTATTTAAAAGGACTGATAATGACTACAAAGCATAGAACTTTCTTTCTTTTCAATTACAATAATAAATAACATGATTACATGTACAATAAATGAGAAATTTCATTAAAATTGTGTAGTCATTTTCAATAATAACTTATTATTCACTTATATTCTCTTAATTAAATTAAGTAGTTATTTAAAATTTTAAAAAGAGATTAATTAATTTTTTTCATTCTTATTTAATTGATTAAATATCACATTGGATTCTTTTTCTGTGTTGACAGCTGATCAAGATTGCTATTTGACTAAAGAACATAGCAAGATTGTTAATGAAACATAATAATATAATATGCATATTATAACTTGGAATATAGATAGTAAGGTGGCAGGTGACTATCAATAGGACATTGACAGTATGCTGGATACCTAAATTAAAATTGTTTAATCTGTGAATTTGCTCTTCTATTTACTATATATAATATTATAAAGAGGAAAGATTTGAATCAAGTATTTTTTCAAGTAGTAAAAAGTCAAAAAAGAAAAAAATACTTGACCAAATACAAAATATATTTAACTCTTTGGAAGGTACTCTTTTTAATCAATTATATCGGAATACTACACCCAACTGCACTATCAGTATAGGCTTGTTTGTGAGTAGATTGGCTGTGAACAATACTGATGGGCCACCAGTGGAGGTTGATAACATGAACATGAGGTCAGTTCAGTTAGCCCATCATTAGTCATGATAAATTCACCAGCAATAAATCATGATGATTCCCAGGGGGAACTGTGTGAAGGTCAACCAGACACTACTGTGTCATTGCTAGCTGTGGAGTTAATAGTCCACATTGCTAACAATTCCCATCTTCCTGGAAGGTACATTGTTCCAGAGGGACATACGCTATGTATTATGGTAATATGTACAAAACTCTTGACTATAAATACAAAGTGAAATGGAGTAGGGCATTACTAATTTATACGACAATTTCATGCAACCCATGAGTATTTATTTCTATGATAAATATAGTTTTATCTCTACAACATTATCCTAACATACACAAAATACCTTTACAGTGGGTGACCAGTTATCTTTTATGGAGTTTATTGAGTACATCATTATAAAAATATGTCTCTCTACTGAGTTTTGAGAGAATAAATAAAATATTTATTAGTTTTTATATGAAAAAATTCATGTATATATAATTAAACTTTAAAAATAAGTGAAAGTAGACACTGATAACATAACATTTTTGATAAATAAACAAATTTATTAATAAATACACACTAAATTAATTAAAAAAAAACTTAATCTCAAGACCATAAAAAATATAATATTTTATTAACTCATAGAAACCAATGTTACCAAGTACTAACCTGGTCAGGACAAAAATATCCAAATGCCACCATCCCAAACAGTGAAAGCAGTAAACAGAACAATATCACTCGCCGGAGCCTCGATCTCGGTTCCATTTTTTTTATTTCATAGGCACCGCTGGGCAACAACAAAGCGAAATCACTATCTACTTGCACTGATACACTTTTTTGCATTTCGGTCGAATGCATGTCTCATTTTTACAAAAATATCTTCAGTCTAAAACCCACTACTTAAATTGTCTTAGTTTACGTTGTATTGCTCGCAAGTAAACTGTCACATTATTGTTTGTTAGAAGTACCTATTGGACTATTTATTCCATAACATTTTATTTGTTGATATGAAATGTATCGTCGAAGAAACGAAATTAAATTAAAACTGAGTTCGCAACATCAGCACAAGCAAAACAAGCGACCGACAGACTCTGACTGATTATGACATTGACAGAACCAGAAATGACGGATCGACTGACGGTATGACCATCTAAAAATGATTCATTTAGCCTATTTTTGAAGAAAATGTGCTAATTTGTGCCATAAATCTATATTAAAGTGCATAAAATTTCGTAATTATCATATTACAATTTATAATGTATTAAAAAGTTATTTATGGGCTAACTAACAAAAATTAATAAAATGGTACATCAATTACTTCTCAAAAAAATGTGAGGAAATGGCAACGTTTGCCATTTCGCTTATCCTCGTGGATACGTTCGTGGGGAACAGCGGTTCGGGAATGATTGTTGCTATGAATACGATAAGTCTAAGCGACAGATATGACTTTATGTGAACTTTTGTTACGTATTGTCAAATAACCTTACGAGAGAGATGCAAATTAAGGACGTGAGTCACCTCTTTCCAGTTGGGTAGCCCGTTCCGGCTTTTTTATTCGTATTTGTAGCGCTTTTCTACCGGGACGTTCACCATTTACAGATACGTGCTCAATGAGCAGAAGTCTGTGGTTCTAGACTACCGTCTGGTAGAAGGCGGGGGTAATTGGGTAGAATTCCTACCACGGGTGAAAGCGTTTGTTCAAACGCTTATAGGCAAGCATGTGACCCCTGTTATATGGTGGCGAGAAATGCCTTGAATATTTAACCAGTAGGAATACCCAGAGGCGGCCGTCTCCATGATGGATTTTACATACCTTGTAAAAAGACAAAAGGCATCAGTTGATCAAACACCTTGGTTTCATAGACCTATACGGGAACCAATTTGGTTGCCCAACTGTCGCCTATTATCACGCCATTTCTAATAATTCCGCGTAACCATTCTGAAAGACAATGTTTTTATCTCCGTGTCCTGTATGATTCTACCATAAATAATGAAAGAATTTTCATGAGTCCCTCGAATTGCTGTTTGAACTCATAATACCAAGCAATATATAGGGCAGTCCTCGTAACAATATGTTATGGGGACTGCAATCATTGGGGTTTTATAATATCGTCATGGTGTTGTACGATATATTTATTTGCATGTCTGATTATTTGATAACAAAAAAATTAGTTTCCTTAGGCGTCAGATTTACATTTTATTACGTCAGCCATCTTGTAGAAATAATGTCATCTATATACCTAAAAAGTAATATTAAAAGGATTGGCGGGAAGACAATTGTTAGTAATTAATACCAGTCTCATTGCTAAAAATATATCCGGATTGAAACAATAGTGAATTTGCTACTAGGAGGGGCTGAGGAACTCGACTTCATGTTCTTCCTATCATCCTCTACTGATAGCTAGCCAGTGTGTAGCGTTAGGACAGGCGTATGCACCATTTTATTATCATTTATGATATTTTAATACAGGTTTTTTTAAATAAGTGTTAATGGAATTGTTGATAAAAAGGTTCATAAAGACATATACAACAATTACAATTTTTAGCAATAACAGATTTAAACTTCCACGGCTCACCTAACGAAATTGTTAGGGAGTAGGTAACCGTCGTCGATATACTTGAACAACAGCTCAGACATAAAATGTATTTAGACTCCAGTGTCACCTCTTATGTTACCACTCTTGAAGACTACACGAGAGTGTATATACCCTGTAATTTCTAGGAAAATTCTAATGATAGTCCATAGTCCTCACTTTTCAAACTAGAAACCAACTTATAAAGTAACTAGCTACAGAAATTGGAGAGACATAGATACAAATGATTATGACGTTGTAGTTCCATAGTGACATTATTTAAGACATAATAGGTTGCAGGATGTACAAAATGACACAAAAAATCTATGATAGGCTTTAATCCAGTATCAGTTTTAGGGAAATTTTATATTGGATCGACATAATTTTTATAAATCAACACTTCACATGTGATTATGGAAAATGATTTTCCTTTACATAATATCACGATAAACACTAAAATATTAAAACAAAAAATAGAATGCATCAGCAAATTCCTAACTACAAATGATTAAAATCGAGGATTATAAAAAAAAAAACATTGTAATGTGGCACTAGCTCTATAGATGTCTAATTGAGTTGAAATAAATTTAAGTTAAACAATTCAAAAGGCACTTTAAAAATAAGGTGGGGATATAATAATGTAGATAATAACAAGTACATATATTCAATGATAAAATGCATGATGCACTAGTTGTTTGTCAGATATCTCTCGTCACACTGCAGTTGCACTTATCAATATAATCTTATAAAGACAATATTAAATATAAAATCAATAGACAACAATGCATATTTACCTACAACTATAGAAAAATATAATAAAATAAAATTCTGAAACCATAGATACATTTCGAAGTGATTTTTATTACTGGCTATAAAAGTGGTCACTCTTTTCTACTACTGTGTTATCTCAAATTATACAATAAAATGTATGATACAATGCATGGAACTCAATGCCACGAGAGAATACATTAACTGGTCTTGTTTCTGATATTAAAAAAATGTATACAAAATGTCCTCACCTCTTGATTACAATTTTTACTGTAATATAAAAGTATTAGGTCACCACACCACTAATATTGGTAAAATGTGTTAACATTTCCATTAGGTTGATGATACACAGATGATTGTGGTATTGTTTTAACACTACACTCAAACAGAGCACATGTCGATGTTAATTTTATCATTTAACTCCACCGGTCCCTAAAAAGGATCAACTCCTCTCACCACAGAATTTCCTAGTTATAAAAATTACTATATTTTATTGATTCAGTCCACAAATTTGAAATAAAGTCCACAATTCACTCAATGTCATGTGACACAAATCTGGCACATGATGAATGTTGTTAATGTTCGGTTCACTATGCGTTTGTTTAATTAAACGTTCTTCCAGTACAAAATATTTAGCACATTTTAATTTGTTGAAAGTTTTCTCATTAGCGTTGCACTGTTTAAAACAAACAATACTCTATTTTATTTATAAATTGTTCAGATTGACGCAACAATTGGTCACATTACGATCAATGCATCTTTTCTGCTCACATATGCAGCTAAACATACATATATATTATCGGCTTTGTAATACGGTACCAATTATTAACTCGAGTACTAGTTGTCTATGGGGAGAAGCCAGTCCTCAAATTGTCCTCAAACAGTATAGGCATCCAATCAATTGCGAGGACGTCCACGCCCACGTGAGCCGTCACGGTCCTGAAACACAAAGGCAATGAAGTACCCAGAATATACCCATAATTACTTTTATTATATGTGAAACACATATAAAAAATAATATGAAAATTTATTAAACATTTAGTCATGTAAGGTCTATTATAACGCACGTATTTAAAGGTCTGAATTATTATCATTTGTATATATTAATCATATAGTATTCATGAAACTAGAAATTCTCCAAAGAACATAGGTTGATTTAGTTACTATAAAGGCGAGCGGGGAAAACTGTGTATATACTATTGAATAATTAATGTGATTTACGAATTGAAGCACTAACCTTATGATGAGGTCTATAATTTGAGTCCCGGTCGCGATATCCGTGATCACGGTTGTCCCGTCCATCACGATCATCACGGTGATCGCGGTGATCACGGTGGTCCCGAGGATCGCGTGGGTCGCGGGATTCACGGTGGTCACGTGAGTCACGGATATCACGGGGATCGCGATTGTCGCGGCCATCCCGCGAGTCGCGGTGATCTCTTGGCTCACGATTATCCCGATGATCCCGTCCATCACGACCGTCACGTCCATCGCGATTATCGCGGTAGTCTCTATAATTGCGATAGCCACGACCATTCTCCTGATCCTCACGATTGTTATCCTGGTTGTTATGATGTGGCACCTTCCTTGAATCCTCTTCTTCTTGACGCCGTTCGTAATGAATAAAATCATCGAATATAGAAGTCGAGTGACAATAACTATGCATTATACGCAACACTTGCAGGCCTTTTGCGTGGGGCACCTCCTGGGTATCACGAGAGTTTGTAACTGGCTTATTTTCGTTATTCTCTAATTTGATATGACGAAGTTGCACATTCGGAACGTCCTTAACATAAATCCACCTTACACGAAATTGTCCCTTCCACTTATCCTGCGACCACACGGAAGAGTTAGAATTGTAGTCGACTGCGCTTGTCATGCGCGCCATGCCGCAGAAATGACCGCTACCATTTACCGAGAAGAACAAGAAGACTGAACCGGCCTCTCGTTCCCGCTCGCGATATGCAGCATCTAGCCTTTTATTTCCGTGTTCTGTGCTGCACCAAATTTCATATTTAATACTACGGTGGATATCATCCTCCGAGTATGACTTAATGACAAAAAATCGAGCAGATGGGGCGCCTAAATCAAACTCCTTAGGATTGTAATCGTTTTTGACGCGTAATTCGTCAAGAACGGGATGTGGCGTCGCTGGATTTGATTGTACTGGGGGGGCAGCGGCAATAGGAGGTGCAGGCATCGGCGGGCGAGGCTGATGAGGCTGATGTTGTTGGTGCTGTTGATGTGGTTGATGGGGCTGGTGGGCCTGGTGCGGCTGGTGAGGCGGTGGCGCGCGCGGCGCGTGCGTCCAAGCGGGCTGAGCCTGATGCTGCGGTGGTGGGCCACGTTGTAACGACGCCGGGGCCGGAGCTGGTGGCGCAGCTTGCAGCGCCATCGCTGCGGGTACTGGTTGAGGTTGTAACTGCGGCGGCGGCGGGGCTGTGACGACAGGTGCACTCTTACCAGCATCCCATGCGTTAATCTCTAGATTATGTTTACCGGGTACTATTGGCGGAGGGGGCATTCCAGGCCCCTTTTTCTTAAGTCCAGTGCTTTGGGAAGACGGGGCAGGTTTAGCAGGTTGGCTCGCGATTGATGCCCATGTCATCTTTTTGGGTTGCGATCCACCTGATACATCCTTGAGCTCCGAAACCCGGTCTTTGTCCATTTTATGCTCGCCAAGAGAGAGTGCCTGCACTCCCGTCTCGACAGCCTTGATGCCATCAGGCACATACATTCCATCGGCCCTGTAATAATCATCATACTGCTTTGCGCGTCCTAACTGACCCCATGTAGAATAATCTCCATTTCCATGGAAATAATTAAAATTTGAAGCTGGCTGACCGAACGCAGCCGTTGAGAATGCAGTTGTTGAAGGTCCAAATACACCTGAAATAGTATTCAGAATTTTTATTCTGCTGAATATTACTATAATTGTAATAGATTTTGTTAACTATCAAAAGCTGTTTAGTTGTCTAATTACATTTTAAAGTGAGTAATTAATAAATTCTGTAAACAAATAATAGCTGGCTATATTATTACAAAAAATATATACCGATGGTTCAGGTCCAGTAATTTTTAAGATAACAAATTGGATAGAAACTTGTTAAGTGTAAATGTGTAACTTTTTTCTAGTCACTGAATAAATACTAGCTACCATCCATTCCATAAGAATCGTGAGGATTGTATCCTCCGAGGAAAGTCATCGGGTCTGTTCCATTGGTGGACCATGTCCCATCCCCGACTCCAAAAGCTTGATAAGGAAGTGCTGTTGTACCGTAATAACCTGGAAAATAGAATTAACAATATTGATACTCCATATATATACGTTAAAAATAATCGTAATGCAGACTATGCAGACTCCATACTCTGTATTTCACTGCCAATAGGTAGAAACAGAGTAAGGGAAGACCGCGACACAGCTTACATCAAGTAAGTTACAGAAAAAGTTGGAGTTGTGTCATATATACAGCTAAAAAGATTGATATAAGATAGTGGTAGGTGGCGGAAGCTCCACCTACAAGAACACAGCTCTTAAATTATGAATGAATGCTTTTTGTATATATATAGGTATAAAATCTCAGTTCTTAGAAATGACAATACATGAGCGATATCACGAGTGTCATATATTGATTTCATGATATCCGTGATCAAAAGCATAAAAGCAGTAGACAGTAGTAATTTTCCATCTGGTAGGCCGTCAGCCCCTTTGCTATTCTAATTATAGAAACATAAATGTCACTCATCTGTGCTGGCTATATTATATATATTTGTAATGTATGTACCTACCTGCCGCGCTGTAGGGGTCGGCCGCTGACGAGATGGGTGGTGCGTAGGAAGGTTGCTGTTGTTGACGCCATGACACCTCCGCCAACTCGTCGCCGCCACTCTCTAACTGTTGCTCTTTCGGTGCATTTGTCACTGTGGATTTTATATGGAAAATTCAATAAATATGTTATACAATTTTTTTTAAAACTTTAATTATGAAATTAAAAATAAACAAAACTATGCAAGTGATCAGAGAGTTGTTATAATAAGATCCGATTGCAAACAAAAACAATAAACCTGCAAAATCGTCATTTTTTTTAAGATAAGAATAAGACTATGTCCATTGAAGTGATACAGTATATACACATCAAATTTCATCTGTTCAAATGCCTTTTATATTAGTGGAAATATGGATGGTACAACAACCATAATGTAGAAGTAAATTTCTATCATTCTGCTACATTCTTAATGAATGTAGAAATAACTCAAAAGCTCAACCAATAAGTTATAAATGCTTATCATGACTTTATGAAAGTTGATATGAAGATAGAATGTATTTGAAAGAAGGCAGATGAAGTTAAAGCGACAAACATCTTAGAGAGAAACTCTGAGCAGTTCTTGGAACTTGTGACCAGAATGTAAGTTTAAGCACAGCCCCTAGCTGACTTGCCGAGTGTAAAGTCACCTCAACAGCTCATGTTTCTATCCCTGCCAAGTATAAGTACATAGGAGCCTGCTAGTGCAGTTTAATCCCAAAAAAGCTGCAAGTCATGGGTAATAAATAGTTAGTGATAAAATACTGTTGAGGATCTTACTTCACTTCGTCACTTGCGAAAATAAAATTGTATATTCATACTGTTTTCATTATTACTATTGTAGGTAGCTAAAAATAAACTACAGTGTAGATATTATGTCAAATCTTATCAAGACATTCTCATTAAAAATATAAGGTCAAAACATTGATCCAGACAGAAATTAATGAGTGACTGGTTTTTCCTATCACACATCCAGAAAACAAACAATTTTATTAATTTACATTTGTTCTATCTCCTTCATAGAATTCATTATGTAATTAATAACTGTTAGCTTATTTAAATAATATAATAAGAAATAATCATGTAAATATATTTTTTATCCTTAACATACTAATATGCAATATAACATAACATAATATGCAATTCTTAAAATCTGTGTTGTGATCAGAATTGCAAAAAAACAATCACCTTTAGACATCAGGAGAATAATAGAAACTTTAAAATATATAGTGCCTAATTTCAACCCTCATGCATTGCTATAATATAGTCAATTATATAGGCTAGGACTAATTAGCCACATCTACATAAAGTTAAATTTGGAATACAAATAAGAATATTTAAAATACAATTTATAATTTTATTACTACACTACCAACCCGCCCAAGCCTCGCAGATGTACATGTATACATATAAACATCTTGAATCACTCTACTGACTATTAAAAACTGCACTAAAATCCATCACATAGCCTAAAATCTAAGTGAACAGATAGCGGAAATGTCTTCATTTTATACTATGTTGGGTGACTTGATTTAGTATCATACATTTAAAAAAAAATATTGATTAGTATTAAATGTACTCAAAACTGGTTTCATTTTATACTATGTATATATGGTATATATATATATATGACTTGATTTATTATCATACATTTACACAGTAGTAAATTGTAGCTTCTACTCACACATACAAAAAAAATATATATTATTAAGTGTACAAGACTTGGTAATAGTAGGAATAATAAGTTCAAATTCACTATTTCCTGCAATTATTAGTTATAATTTCTCTAGGTGCAGGTATTTTATCATTATGTAATTTGACCTTCATAAGAGATGAATACAAATGTATATTGTAAAATTAATATATATACACTTATTTATATAATCTTCATTCTGTTCATATACATGAGTGTAGTGTTTTTATAAATTTGCTTCTAATGAATTTTTATCAGCAAAATTAGACATAAACAAAAGTTAATTCCTATTTCACTATATTCTTCCATATTATTCATACACATGCACTTTTCATAATTTAGCTCATTTTAGAGAACAATGAATGTAGAATATTAAATTAGAACCGAATAAAATAGCATTCATAATTATATCTTATATTTAACATAATAATATACTTAATTGTACAAATACAAATTTGAGAACAAGTTATAAATTACTTAAATTCATATTGTTTTCATGTTAAATTTACTAACCAGCTGATAGATAATACGTTTGATAACATATGCTAAGTAAGCCCTATAAATCAACTAATATTTACATAAAGAAAAAAAAACAACAGTAACGTTAATATCACATTACAATGTATCGCGAAAATGTAATAATATGTTTTAATAGGAAGTGAAAATAGGAGAAAGCAAAATACGACGTTAATGTCAGTTTCAACGCAAAAGCACCGGATACAAAGTCGGCCGGTAAGGTGTTCCTCCTACGGAGAAAACACCGTGCAACGTCATAATGGTTTCACTTTACCTTGGTTCCCTTGCCCTTTCATCCGCTATGAATCGCAGTTACATGAAACAAGGCATGAAAAATATTATTAGATCCTAGAAATTACGACATAAACATGTAAATAATGCAAAGAAACAGATAAAATGGGAAATACCTGATCTGACACGCCTGCTGACATTGGCTGCGATTTATAGAATATTTAGCACTCAGGTAAGTCTTTGCACACAAAAGTAACAAAATAAATCACATCGGTTTCACTACACAAAGTCTGTCGAGTCCAATAACTAACTAGTCACTTTAAAATGTCTGTAATTAAAAATTATCACTGAATGTCCGACACGATTGAAGGTTTTTAATGGCGGCCACTGGTGTTGCCATTTATGCATTTCTAAATTGGCTATATTTTTTTTTACCCAAAAACCGGAAAAAAAATCACAAGATTAAAATTATGGGGTGGGATATTCTTTTTGCCAAGATTTAAATATAAGTTTTGTAATGTTTAATTACAATGAATACTTAGAATAAGTACTACTTACAAGTTAGATAGCTATAATGAATGTTTAGGGTTTTGAGAACCTGAAATACCAGTGCAAACAGAAGCACAAGATCTATTGCTTGCTAAGAACAATAACTTGTTAGTTATACACACTGCTCTTTTTAGGAGTAAGAGAGTCATTTGCTTATGTGACCAGAATTATGGATATCACAGAAAAATATTGGGGCGGCCGTTGTGCGTTGTGCTTCTGTAACTTTCAATTTCTTTACCATATCATCCTAAAATTTAGCTTGAGAAATAAGGCATACAGTACCTCTGTATCCCTACTACTGCCATCACGCAAGTCTATATATACGACTGTACAGTGTGCCTATATAGGTGATCGTATTTAGCTTCCATTCTGCATACTCCGTAAAGTCATGTATAAAGATAATGGAGACATTAAACAGGTTCAATGCGTTCCCGCTACTGAAAATTCTGCTGGGACGCTGTGTGGCGCCAGTTATTTTATAGCTTAGGGGACAAACGAGCTTGCTTCTCACCTAATGGTAAGTGATTACCACAGACAATGACCGTTACTGGATTTTTAAGAAGATATATGCTCTTTTCTTGAAGGTTTTAATATCGTGTAGTCATATATACAACATACAGTTTTGGGGGGAAGGGGATTGTTAGCAATGGGAACTAGCAACTCCTATTGCTGGCAATGTACCATGTTAGGTCGACCTCCACGCGGTTCTCCCTGGAAACCATCGTGAAGAATTCTTGGTGAATTTGTCAGGTTGGACTAACTGACCTGACCTCATGCTCATCTTATCATCCTCCACTGGTACCCCGCCAGCGTAAACCGTTAGTGCAGGCGGGTGCACCATTCCATTATATCATACGCAAAAAAAATACAGTTTTATGTTCTTGTAATATGTATTAAGTATAGAAAATAGTAATCTGTTCAAATAAAAGTAAAAAATTAAAACATGACAATAAATGCGTATTTTAAGGATTCAAATAAAACAAAATATTTATAATTTAACAAAATTTTGTTTATGAATCAAGTCGATTATTAAAATTATACACACCCCCACCTGACATTCACATAATGTGACATAATAATTATATTAATCCAAGTTTCAGACATTGATCTTTGGACTTAATTCTTTTTTTACTTACCAAAAATTCGAGACAATCAATAAGATATATTAATATTATAAAAATGTAGTTTTTGAGTTTGGATAATCAATAAAATCCAGCACTAGTGATCCGACAATCTTTTAGTGTTGGGAACTCCGTGTCTCAAGGAAGGCTGTAGGATATACATAACATCACGCTACAACCAATAGGAGTGAAGCTGCAATAAAAAATGTTCCAAAACGGGAAAAATGTGACGCAGACGAAGTTGCGCAGGTTAGCTAGTAAGAATATATTTTCGATTTGACTTATACTTACATATAATGTACGGTCTATAAAATCTATGTATAGAATTTTTCTCAAAGATCAATTAACATAGAGGAAAATTATTTACATTAATTCACAAATTAAAATCTTATAGAAATAATAGCGTAAAGCCGAAACCACTTTTGGCAGTTGCTGCAAGCTGTAAATTTGAAATGTTTACACCACCAAAAACATGGGCGCTTGTCACATATAAATTACGTTACAACAATTTTAGACCCCCATCATATACAGGGTCAGGGTAACCATTAGGCGGAATAGGGAACTGCCTAGGGCCCCACATCAGATAGGCTATGCTGGGGGCAACAGAAAGTGAAAATTGAATTATAAAAATTGTACCCATAATGATAATAGGTATTATTATTTTTGATTGAAATACATAGCATACAGACACCTGTTTCCAATACTATTTACACAGGAATGAGCCCCAAGATACTATAGGAAATAGCTGGTATTAGCTAGGAGCGCTGACTTTTTTTAATCCAGTTCCAATTATATACACACTTAATCGCTTAAAGCAAGCCCTGAGCACAACATAGTCTACTTTCTTGTAAAGAAGGAAGATATTGTTTTAGTCCCATTAGCGGCTTTTTGACGTGCCTTTTCTTTAGCAGATAATGGCCGTTCTTTCTTTACCTCAGTATAACTTTGATTAATATTGTTATACATGTTTTCTGTATCTTCAGGAAATTCTTGTTTAACTTTTTTCATATCATTAACATCTGTTGCTTCGGACTTTCTTTTCTTTCCAACAGATTCAATTAGGTCCGGTTGAAAATCCAACTGCTTTTCTAAAAGTTGTACAAGTTCCTCTTGTAGATATTCAGAGACCATTCCATGTGCATATTTCAAATAAAATTCTGTAACATTAAATAGAGACATTCTTAAATTAAAAATGTAGCGACCCACACACTACACACACCTTTTTACATATTATACTTAAAAAAATCCTAAACCTGCATCCTATACACTCATAAAAATGTACAATGTTGAATACCAATGTTTGTACAGTACAAAAATCAAACCCACAATCATTGGGTGATGTGCTAATCGGCTAGACAACTAAGGCAAACAATATCACTAGAATTATATTGGATATTAATTAAAGTTTAGACACAAAATTATACTCCCAATAGTGATAAATCAAAGGAGGAAAAATCAGTTACCTTCATCAATTGTATCTTTTGTAATGTTACTTGCTATGAATGTGGCAGAAGTGGCTCCAGAAGTTACATGTATATTCTTCTCTCTCAATACTTTTGCCAATTTCCGAACTCGTCCTTCAAGCCATTTTAAAGTTTTATCTTCATTGTACTTGTAAGCTTTCATGTCTGCTGGACCCTTGAAATATACAATATTCATTTGATTTCCTAGAAATGTAAAAGGAATGCCATGTTTGACATCAAATAGAAAGTACAATTCTTTAAACAAAATAATAACTATAGAATATTATACTTACTTCTAAAAAATTAAGTAATAGTTTTTTTTTAACTGACAATTTATTTGTATCCCAAATACAATATTTGGTATTAAAAAATATTACCTTAATTATGTGGATTGGTTACATGTACCATTGTTGATTTAAAAACCAAACTGCTGTATTTATATAACTTTGGTAACATTCTATACCAATGGGATCAATCTATATGTATATTACTTCAAATAATAAAGAATTCCTTATTAGTTTAAATTAATTAATGAAGTCCATACATAAAATAATATAAAAAAATACAACTGAACCATATTCTTTATATTGTAAATTTGTACATACATATATGTATATATATATACCTTGAGGTCTCCAATCAAATCTATATTAGTAATGAATTGTACTATTTTGTTATAACTTTTTTCTGACAGCAAATCCTCTAAAGGCACAGCCCTGGTACTGCATTGTTTTCTTAGTTGTGGTAATACTGAAATAATTATTAGTCTTCTTAAACATAATGATTCTATAACTACTATTAACTATTATAAGAAAAAACATTTCTATTCTATATTACAATAATAAAATTAAAATACACATGCATATCTTATTTTTGTAATAATTAAAAATAAATATTATTAAATAACTATATATTATTGTAAGCTGTTTTGGTTGTGGGGTGTAATTAGACAGTAAAATTACAGGATGGGATGTATGACATCTTTTTCCCCAGATTGAAAATGTATGAGTGGAGTCACTGGTGTCTTGGATATAATAGTGATGTTCAATTATATATGCAATGCTTACCACTTACCATCAGGTGAACTGCAGCTTGTTGGCCATTTTATTTGCATAAAGATAGGAAATAGTAGACTTATCCAAAATCCCTAAGATTTACATATTAGGATAGAGATAGGCTAACCAGTCACTAACCCTTACTTCAATTGTTTTCAGTAGAGATGATACTTACTCAAAAATAAAGGATTTACTGCAGTCAACATAAGCAAGTCACCATCAGATTTAACAGTCTCTCCAATGAACCAAGATCGATAGGGTTCACTGAATGTTACCAGTTCATACATCTTGCTATGAACATAGTCCAAGCAATATTTAGCTGGATTACCATGTGCTGGATGTGGCAAGGTTATGATGCTGAAGTTATTATTTTCAAACAATTCTTCTGTAAATATAAAATCATGTAATTAACACTTTAACAGCTAATCAAATTCATAGAAAAGTTGCCTGTGATAACTTATAGTACCATATGTATGGACTAAATTATACATGTATATATTAAATAATTGACAAATGCTGTTACATTAGTTGTCTCGTTTTGCTTACATGAAAATAGTAAGGGGGAAAGGGATAGTTATTGTGAACTAGAGGCCACATTGCTGGCAAACCAGGGTCATTAATTTCAGGTATCTTTACCTTGTTGCGATACCTGATCTAACATTCCTTCAAATCCTATTATCCTCCACTGGTGGGTGACCCACCAGCATATGCAGTTGGATCCATAATATCATTATCATGTAAAAAAATACTAGCTGATAGACTAACCTTATAAGATAAATTATTACAATTATTATGAAAGATATTATTACTAAATGTGCCAAGTTTTTTTTAGTAAATGAGGATGGAATGGTTGTCCATTTTATCAACTTATGTATTCTTCTTCTGTAATCTTCATCTTATTATAATATAACACTATTACACAAGCTGATAAAGACTAGGCAATGTACGTTAGAAGTAAGCTTCTTATTGAATGTAACTGTAGGCAGAAGTACCTTTTAGAAGAAGAACCCAAGAACTTTCAATACGTTTAATAGTTTTTTTTGGACTCTCGATTGATGATTTCGGTTTCTGAGATCGACTTGTCATTTTTCTTCGATATCCTTAAGAAAATATGTCGATATTAAATAAAAGCAAATGTATTATTTATAACTCAGAACTGTAACATAACCAAAAACTAAAATAGCCGAATTGAACGTCGATTGTATTGATAAAATAGTAGGAATAGAATAATATAACTATTATATGTATATTTTATAACAATAATGTAAGAAAATATAATAAAAATATGAAATAATGTTAAACAAGTAAAAGTAACTAAGAATGGAAATATTTTGACCGGTAAATTATGACTTTGACAGTGACATATTTGACAATCAATTTTTGAAGTTGCACAGAGTATCATGTACTGACGTATTCCCACAGTCACTTGTCACACGGGTCACTCATCCCGCCATTTCCTGTTTAGTCTGTGTTTATCATTAATTTTTAATTACCGGCTTACCGGTTTTTATCAATATTTCTTTAAATATTATAGCAAAATAAGATGCAAGCTTTTCTAAAAACAGGTAAAATATCAGCAGCAGACAAGCCGTCGTCGTCTGGAATAAAGACCTCAACTAAAAAGAAACCACCGGCACCATGGGTCGAAAAATAGTACGTATCGATAATTTTGTTTATATGTCTAACGATTTCATTTAAAATATATTACTATATATATTTATAATTATCTATTTTAGTCGGCCGAAGACTATAGATGACATAGTGGATCAGGGGGAAGTAGTACAAGTTCTACGGGAATGTTTGTCAGGAGGCGACTTGCCTCACTTATTATTTTACGGACCTCCTGGAACAGGGAAGACAAGTGCTATTCTTGCTGCAGCTCGGCAACTGTTTGGGGACATTACACGTGATCGTGTGTTAGAGCTCAATGCATCCGACGAGCGTGGTATCCAGATAGTGCGGGACAAAGTGAAGGCATTTGCTCAACTTACTGTTAGCGCCACTAGACCTGAGTAAGTATTTAATGTACTTTATATTATTTTTTATAGGTCGAAAGTAATGCCAATAACAGCCCCAATTGATTGGAATGTAGAAGTTGAATTGATCCAGCATACATTTGTTTTTGATGTCATAAATTTAGTTACAATTTAGAAATGTTTGTAGTTACATGTAGCCTAACAAGTAAAATAATGAAATATTAAAATGTTTTTTGTATAGCAAATTGCTATATATAATATATTAAGTCCTAAGTAATATAATAATCTTTAATAACTTAGAAATATCTAAAAAACCAGATCTGTAAAGATTCCTAAGAAAGTTCATACAATATTTCAGATTCTGTAAAATATCATGATTTAAAAATGGTATTAATATATGGTAATGTGATAACTAGATCAGTGGTTAGAGTAAATACACACACAGTAGGGTTGGAACTTGTGTATTTGTTTCTTACAAATGGATACTTTAACTTACACTAGCTATTAAGACTATATAAACTACACACTATGTGACATTAGTTAAAAGACTTATAATATAATGTACACTTGTACAATCCATTATCATATGTTGCTCTACCATATCACAGTAATAATAATTACATACTATAAGAATGTTCTTCTGTATTGGTTTTGATTTAGTTAAGGTCTACAACACCTCTTGACCAAATTAATTTTTTTGGCATGTATTTCATTCTATCTCTATTAAATTCCACATTTATTATAAATGTCTAATTGTTGATAGGCATTGTGACTTAAATAGCTAAACTAATTTTAATTAAATTTAATATCTGTAGATAGACATCCTGTACTAAAGAAGACTTTTATCACAATTCATCTTGGTTTATTTTCTGATATTTTCTTTTTGTAAATTGTTTATGACCAAAAAACATCTGTTAAATATGAATAATGAGATCTACAAAAAGTATAGCACTAGTGGCAATTAGTTAAAACCATCATTACTGATTTCTAAACTTATTGATTACAGTGGTAGACCATGCCCTCCATACAAGTTGGTTATATTGGATGAGGCTGACTCTATGACAACAGCAGCGCAGGCAGCTTTACGACGCACAATGGAGCGCGAAACACGTACAACTAGGTTTTGCTTGATCTGCAACTATGTGTCAAGAATCATACCTCCAATCACAAGCAGATGCTCAAAGTTTAGATTCAAGCCACTTGCAAGGGAAAATGTTATTAAAAGGTGGGTAATTATATTTTTTTAAATAATAATATAGGAGCTATAATATACATCACAGGAAGTTACAAAGGAAAGGAGGAAGGAGGTTGGCAAGGATTGATATGGTATAATAAGAGGTAGTAGGAGTTACAAAGCATGTTTAAAAGTTCATGAATATAGGACCCATGTAGTACTAGCAATAATAATGATAGAAGGGATATGCTTTGTAGATGTGATAAGGAGAGTGCAGTGACAGAAGTGATTGTATCTATTGTAATATGCTTACACTGTCGGCTGTAATCACTATTTCATTGTCAGATTATTGGTCATATATTTATGTGTGTATGGTATATTTTTGTATATGTATATATAAGAACATGTGTATATATATATATTTATTCATGTATATTCTATAAAATAATATATTTAAACTCATGGTTGACTGGTAGAAAATGCCATTAGGTGTTAAGTCCGCCATATGTACTTTTTACCTGTGTATGACGTGCATTAAAGTTATTTAAATAAAAAAAAATAAAAATTATAAAACAAATTGTATATAAAGAACACTCATATTTTAAATATGGATAAAAGATTATATAAAACTGCCTTGAAAAGGCTTTCCGATTTTGTGACATCTGTGTTGAATTTTAGTATTGAAACAAGAAATTTTATCTTACAATGTGACCTCCTGTGATAGGATGAGGGATGAGGGGTGAGGGGACGGAAGTGATTTATTTTATCATGTCTATGGTTGTTATCTATGTGGACTAATGGTCCCATTGCTAGCAATGTACCATTTCAAGTTGATTTCAGAATGGTTCATCCTGGAAAATTATTGTTATACATTTTGGTGAATTTGCCAGAAGGGGATAACTAATCTAACCTCATGATCATCTCGACTAAACTCAACCTAAGCAAATCATCCCCCACAGGTGACCTGCTAGAGTATATGATTATCAGAAGCAAATGCACTATACCATTATAATCCATTTATAAAAACTAATTTCATTGGGGGAAGGGGATTGTTAGTAACAAGGACTAATGAACCCATTGCTAGCAATGTACTATGTTAGGTTCATCTCCACATGGTTCCACCTAGACACCATTATGATAAGTTCCTGGTGAATTGATCATGATCATATTTCTCCACTGGTGCCCCCTCAGAGTAAACCATTACCATTTATTTAAAAAATACCCATTTTTTTTAGTTTATTTGTATTTCACTTTATTTCAATAAATATTTTTGTGCATATTTATTGGATTAAGAGGCAAAAACTGCCTTTTCTATGTAATCTATAAATATAATAAGATTACATAATAAAGTCCCTTTTTCTATTATATATAATGTGTCTCTAGACTGCGAGAAATATGTGAGGCTGAAGGTGTTGATGTTGGCGAAGGTGATGTGCTCCATCAGGCTGTGGACACGTGTGAGGGGGACCTGCGTCGTGCTCTCACGGCACTGCAGTGTTGCCAGCGATTATTAGGGAAAATTACTGCAGATGGACTTATTGAGGTACATATTGAAAAGAATTTATTAAATTGTAATAATAAATTTATTTCATTAACCATATTAACATACAATTTGGTTAGATATGTCGTTATAAGTATGAACTTTCGTAGCTTATATAGAGAAGGAATGCAGAGTAGTAATATTTTTTAAAAATCATGCATAAAAAATACAACAAATAAAAAAAGACATTTTACACACTACTATGTATTTGACACACAAATGCATAGAAGTATATACTCTTTGACAATAGAACCTTAATAATTGTTTAAATTTATCAATAAAAATAATTACTAGACTTTGTTCTAAATTATCTGCAGCCCTTATAAAATTATGAAGACAAAATTAAAAATTAACTATTCGTGAAACCTATACACACGAAATACATTGTAATTGTTAACACCATATTTTATTAATTACATCAAAAGTAGGCTAGAGTGATTATTTGTCATTTTTGATAATATTTCTCCTGATATTTTTATATTACGCAGGTGACAGGGCTGGTACCTGAACAGAGTGTCAATGAATATTTGAGTGTCAAGAATTACGCTGAACTCGAAAAGTTTGTTGATAAGTAAGCATATTAGTATTTATTTAAATTTATATTAATATCACTGATGTTTTCTTTTACAGGCAGAAATACATTTTGTATTCGAACTATTCTAATGCTGCCTTTGAGAGTTATAGGGAGCGAGTGCAGAAGGCGTTTAAAACTTGTGGAAGGACTTATGGAGCGGCTGAAGGGCAACTCCTTTCTGACGGATACATCTTTAAACCGAGGGCACCGCTAGGACTTTAAACCTCGGGTCAGGCTGTCGTAATTTCAATCTATATTTGGACAGGATCGGGGATTGATTGAACGGGTTTGAAAAATATGTTTAATATAGCAGGGACCAAGACATTGTTGTACTTTTTTGTCATGATATATTTGATGACCGTCGCCTTTATGGACATCACGTTATCATATGGTGATACCACTCATGCGTTGCATTCAGAAGACTAAGATGCACTTTATCCTGTAATTTCAATGTCTAATCGTATAATGGACACACAGCTTACGAAGCAAGCTTCTTGGTACTGAAATAGGTGAGAGTGAGGTACCCAATCAGATGATTTTTAGTCAAATATTTTTAGTGGGGTAACTTAAATTAACTACTAAGAGTAGTTTAAGTGATAGTTCAATAGAATAGATAAGTGGTAAACGGTGACTAAACATGATACAAGACATCACAATATCACGTGATAACACTTTATGCTTTGCCATTCGGCGGACGAAGATGTCGTGATGTGAGCTTTTATCCTGTGATTTCGCTGAAATAGGTTAGGCTGATGTATCCTACGCATACGACTATACTTATAGCAAGAGAAAAATAGAGGCGACATAAATATGTAGTAAACTATTTAATAAAGCTTGTGTAGTAACATGGGAAATAAAATATACCATTTAAGTTTTCCAGTACTTCTCCACTGATGTAGCTTGCCGAACTGGCCTGTAGGCATAGTGATAATAAATATGATAACATACACCGAAAATTGTTAATAATGTAATAATAATAATACTCTTTATCTTATTAAAATTCTCGTGTCACAATGTTAGTTACCATACTCCTCTGAAACGACTTGACCGATTTTTATGAAATTTTATATGCATATTCAGTAGGTCTGAGAATCAGCTACTATCTATTTTTTTATTTTTTGGGTAAAACTATTTATTTATATTTTTTATTGTATATCATTAAAAAAAACATACAACCCTAAATTTTCCCCCTTCTCCCTTTTTGTTTCCTCACCAACCCCTATTTTTTTTATAGCGTTATTAATTTATATGGCAAAACAACGTTTACCGGGACAGCTATTTGTGATATAAAAATAAAATATTTAGACAAGCAAAACTTAATACAAAAATATTTTAATAAAAGGCGGCCTTATGGCTCAAAGCAATCTCTTACAGATAACCTGGTATGTTATAATTGTAATATAATATATATATGTTAAAATAATAATATTTTGCTTACTATAATAACACATGTTCAAAATTTAACGTTATCTAGGTTATATAATTTATTGCTGTGTGAATGTATTTTTAGTGCGTGTATGTATAAAATTCAGACTTATACTAATGTATACAAAAATTACATTCGGCTTATTATGATGGACGACATATTATGAGGGATCAAAGTGCAAGCTTGTGGATATAATTACATAATAATTGTCAATAATCTACACAATAACAAAATTGTACAATGCCGACGATTGTATATATTTCAAAATATATGTAATAGATATTAAAATAAAATCTTCTCAACTTCTGGTGCTCTAATAAAGATAATCCGTCTTTATTAGAGCCAAAACAATAGATTTTAGAATTCTTGTCTGTCTGTTTGTTTATGCATTATGCAAAAGCTACTACGTGGAATTGAAAACAACTTTCATACGTGTATATGGCTAAATGTCTAACATAAAATATTTTAATTCCATTTTACTGCAGACTAATCTTATTACATGCAAAACAAGTGCGTCTTGCTAGTGTTATTATTTCATATTATCATCACTTTAGAATTTTAATACGATTATAATGAGGGACGATGCTCTTAAGTTGAGTGTTCTTTATACGATTTGTTGAATGATGACCAAATTTCTGCCTACTTGATGGAAAGTGTAAGCTTATAGATAGTGTGATGTAGATGATCATTACAAAATACAGTATGACCCATGCATCCATAAAACGAATAAAATTAAGTACCAATATAACTGATAACAAAGAATTAAAAATATAGTTTCTCATATCTACTTGATGTTCATCGTGCTGTTTTTTTATACTACGATGATGGCGAACAGCCGGCCCATCTGCTGTTACATAGGTTGTTACTTAAAATCAGATGAACCCTCAGCTTGTATGCCAAAATTGTATTTCTTTTTTGTTGAAAAAATTTACAGTAAGTATTTTCTCAGGTAAAGAAAATATGTAATAATCTCAGCTATTCTCTTCCAGATTCCTAATGGACGCATACTCGGCATCTCAACTATTAGAACAATTGAGTGCCACTGTGGTGACTGCAGGCCATCTCACCAACAAACAGAAGTGTGTTATTAGCGAAAAGGCAGCGGTGTGTTCCCATAGGCTCCTCGACGGGGGCGCAGAGTTCATGCAGCTCACAGACCTCGGTTGCACCATAATAATGGCTAACAATGACCCATGATGCTTTAATTGTTATGTTGCTAAGGTTAGAATAAAATTTTGTGTATTTCAACAGACTTCTAGGTACGATTCGATTGTTTTTTTTATTTGTTATCCGATGTCTTCATCAATTCCAAACCGATTACTGTTAGTGTTTTTTAAAGTACGGAAAAAACCTGAAATTGATATTTGAGATTTTGTAATATATATACATAAGTAGTTAGTATATGTTTGTCCTCGATATGAAAACAGTTTTATCACAGATCCATCAAGTTCCAAAACTAACCAAAGCTTGTATTATGTTTTGTACTGTGCAAGAATGTAAGCCCCTAATTGTTTATTTTCTGAAGAACAGCTTTATTGTATCAAGTTATTTTTTATTATGTGCATAGTCAAACCAAATAAGCTAATAAATTTATTTCTATCGCTTATATTATATTTTTAAATATTGCACAGAAGTACATTTATTATATATAGTAGAAGACTAAGTATTTCATGGCAATAGTGATTCATTTCATGTCGAAATTCAAGTCAAGAATCACATTTGACATGAAAAACAAAAAATATAACCTGTAAGAAGTTAGTGCATTTTGAAAAATGACTGATCTATTTTTATATGGAAAAAAATTAATTACAGTTTTTCATACAAATAAACCATATTCATTTGAATACTGTAATTTTCTTTTGTTAATGCCTTTCATTGTTTGTGTGCACTGGAAACGTGTGCCGAGATACAAATCAGTATACCGGTCGTACCAAGCCAAGTACCAGCACCGTGTCTGCAGTTTACGCGCGCGTTCATTTCACTTCCGCCGTCGGTTGAACGGACGGACGGGCGAGTAGGAAAGAAAGAAAATAACGTTCTTGTAGAAAAGATAATATCGCGCGGCGATGCGGAGTGAGGGCGCGCGGGCCGGTCCCCACCACGTCACGGTTTGCGCGCGCAGCTCGCCCATTGGTCGCCGTCGCCCCTCTCGATCGTCGCACGCGCAGCGTCTAGCTTCCCAGATTTCAAATCTCGACCGTTTATTTCGTAGTGAGCCGGCGGAGAGCGCGCGTCGCTACGTCGTCCGGTCGCGTTTAATTCTGGCCGTTTAAATAACACGGCAACGTGCTCGTGAACAAGCTGTTCGGTGCTACGGCGTGACGTCGCGGACGATAAGTGCGTGCAGTGGTACGTGCGAAGCGGCTGCGGGACTCGGCGAGTGGTCAATTTCTTTCGATGAGTGGAGGTTTAGTGCATGTCTCTTTACATCATGACTAGATCCACACTCATCCATGGAAGTTGCGTGGTTCGTCGCCGAGGCGCCAAAGTGCGGAGGAGCGGCGGAGATAGACAGGACGCGGACGGCGAGCCGGTGATTACGGGCGAGTATCATTACCGGTGCGTCGTAATGATACGTTAGCGGCAGGTAGGCGCTCTGACGCGAACCGCCCGCCGGCCGCGTCTACCTGAGAGCCTCTGCCGCGCTGCCCAAAAATGTCGTTTAGTTACACTTCGCGCCGATTTGCTATTGCTTGTTCAGAGTGAGTTTTTGTTGTAGTTTTTCATGATTAAGCCGGCGAAGGATTGTTATTTTTTATGGATAAGTCACGGTTTTAACTCGGTTGGCTAGTTTAGGTACATTTTTGTTGTAAGGTTATCGACGCATTCCTGAATTCTCTTGAGCGGCGTAAGTGCACGCGGGCGAGGGGTAGGGAGCGGCAGATAGCGGGGCAAGCGCATCTGCTCCTTCTGAGAAAGGCCATTGTGGCGGTCCCAGAGTGGTCAGTGCGGTGACGTCACGGGCCGGGGCCGACAACCTTTCCCCCGTCATGTACCCCCGCTAATACCTACACATCCGCCGAGTTGCGCTCATGTTTTTGCATCATAGTGATAATTATGAACTTGTCGACGTCGAGTTGAGTTACCTCTCTAATAGCGCTCATTATGTTTTGTTGGCAAATGACTGTACTCATGACAAGCGAATAATGGTTGTCAACCTTCAGTCAAATAAATGAAATGTTACGAAATTATGAATCTATGTCTACTAGATATGTCTATATCTACTTACTTACCGACTGTCTATGCATATCTACTGTCAAATAATATACATATTAAGTATAGATTTTTTTACCTTAGTTCCCGTTCCGCTACTTGTAGCTAGCCATGCCCATCTACAAATTTCAGATTATAAAACCAAAGATATTAACATAAGCGCTTATTTAAGTATTACAACAGTTTGTAGTAGTTAAATATTAAAACATATTATATGCATAGAAAATTACCGCATTAAAGAAACTGTTAGCAATTGTAGCAAATAAGTGCATAAATATGCACGAAATAAGAGTTTATTTTATCTAACACCAGAAATAGTTGTTTTCTCATGTAATTGTTAAACGATTTCAGGTAACTATGAAAGCGAGTATAAACAGAAAAGTTTTTGAATCGTGTAAAAACCCTCCTTCATAGAAATATCTACTATTATATAAGGTAGCTAGCTAGTTGCTAACAACATTTGTATTGGAGCTTCTCTCCTATTAGTTGTTTGAGATGTTACATCCCTTGAAACGGAGAAATGGGCAATTCTAAAAGAATTTTCAATATCATATCAGTAATACCACAAACTACCCCAAACATCCAAACGCACAAGCCTCTTTACAAAATTTATCATCATCTGCTTCTTCCTTATCCCTGTTATTTAGGGTCGGCATAATATATTTCTCTCTTCCATTCATCCCTGTTCGCCTCATCGTCATCTTTATAAAATTATAATACTATATTTATTCATATTAGTCCTTAGAGACAATCTCGTTACATCCAAGTTTACCATCCAGACGGGTCGTGTTCCATGGTTTATTATATTTATTATAACCAGAGATAAGATGCCGCGAATAAATACCAACCAGTTCATGTATATGAAGACTGTGCGAGGATTGTATTATGTACATGGAGACAAATATAAAGAGCATATTTATTACTAAATGAAATGTTACGAAATTATGAATAGGTATATATCTACTATATTGTTTGTAAAAAAGCATAGACAATTAGTGAATATATATAAAATAGTTCGCAACGAACTAAATTATTCATTTAATGCCTCTCTAATGTTGCTGAATACGTCTCAATTTTCACGTGACAATAGATACCGTTTCTCTAATAGAAACCAGACGAAATCGCGTGTAACAGATAGTAATAAATAGGTATTTATTGGTTGAAAAGAGTCCTTTCTTCCCTATTAAACAAAAGTATCACTCTTGTGTTGGACTAGGCCTGTAATGATAATTATACAAATAAATGAAAAGAAAACAATGAAAAATATAGAATATGTACCCTGTTGCCATTACAAATCGGTACTACATTAATGCCAATTCTATCCTAGTAGTAATAGGTATTATAAATACAGAAAGAGATTACTATGAGGAAAGCAAATTAAAATAACTTGAAGTACTCCGGAACTACTGCACCCGTTTGAGAAATTCACTCTTTGGAAGGAAAATCATTCCAGAAATCCAGACTGATAATATAGTAGATATTGCATGAGAAACTCACAAAGAAGCGGGCGAACCCGGGCCGGGTCTTCTTATAAAATATTTGATGGTTCGTTGGTGCCAAAGATGTAAAAAAGTCACACTTATAATATTAATTAATAGTACAGATCTACCTAATGTACCTAATGTAATCAAGAACATATTAAATATTTAATAGAATACGTTTCAGATATGTATTATATTAAATAATATAATAACAATCAATGCATAGGTAAGTCAATGAATTGTCCAATAGAAGAATTTAAAGTTATTTAAAAATGTTATAGCTACTTGAATCGAATACCATTCATAGATATTATTATTTCAGATGGGTAATTCAATAATTTTCGATTCACCCAGATTTTCCTGTTCATTTGCATACGAAATTTTACACAATTTGGCCTTAACAATGTTTTCCTGTGTATCGGTTTTCCTGTATGTTTAATTCATAGTTCTATTGATATTTATTGTACATAATATACCTAGTATTACATATTTTAAGTTATAACTTTACTATGAGTAGAATGAACATTATTGAAAATGGGTTTCATGAAGATAAAGATATTCTACATTATTAGAATTTTTCTATTAGATAGCCATCTTTAGTAGGTACGTTACGGACGTCTACGGACAATAACCAGAGTTGTAGATGCCATTTAATTTTTTTAATATGTTTATTTTTGTATTTGATTCTGTAACCATCACTAAGCAAGCAATCACTACGTTTAGTGACCACCACGAATTTTTTTTTACGATACGGATATTGTACTTAATATATTTCCGAAGAATTAAAATGGCGTGCATAGTAAAGTTGCTGGCGGCCATTTTGAAATTGTATCTTTTCTAACATAATTTGGATTTACACTCCAAAACAGTCTCAAACTATCTAGACAGCTTCCTTACTTGCTATATAAGTAAGGTATTTTAACTAGATAAAAGCATGTATTTGGACTTGTACACCATGTAAAAAAGGGTTAACATAATTTAGCAAATGCAAGCTGCTATGCAAATTCTATATATTTTTATTTACGTATTCAACAAAAAGTAATCATCAATATTGACCGCTCAAGTAATGCATGACCGTTACGAACAACGTTCGTTTCAAACACCATCATTACTCGGCTTTGACTAATTTCATGATCATTCCGGAATTGGAATAGCATTTAACTTTTAATATCTTTTTCTTCTAAAATTCTACCGGCACTGTCTAATATTTTTACAACTTATGTACGGCAAATTTAATTAACTTACTATCTTTATAACTTTCGCGGCAATCTTCAGAGTGAATGTGGCATTAAATACATCGTCTTGTATGGCACTAAAATATTTACTATGTTGTTCATTAAATTCCTACAATTCCTTTAAAAAAATCATCATGTGTAAAAAATTAACATTGGTTTTTAAGTAGTATCTCACTGTCTTTTTACTATTTTTGTGTTTTGTACCTTATTCGCGTGTCAGGACAAACCTACACATAGTTTACTGCGAGTGTGATGTGATTGTGCTATATAACTACGATTCACCTTGAAAGAACACACGGTGAGATCTCAAGAAAATAGTTATTCTCGAATGTGTAGTGACTTAAGAGTATAACGCATTTCTTATAGTCAAAGAACAATATAATCATTTATGATGGTAAATATTCATTAGAATAAATTATTGGTAAGCAGTAATACTAAAAATATATTATCTTCGCCCGAATAACATAAAGTATAAAATAAATATTCAACGTTTAATATGAGCTATTAAATTTTATCTGCAGGCTGACTTCTAAAGCTATCGAATTCTTCGAATTCTACAAAACAAAATCGCATCGAATAAATTACATAATATTCGTTAGAACTGCTCCTATGGTATTATAACATTTTATAATGCCATAGGAGCAGTTCTAACGAATTTATACGAGTATATATAATTAATATTTATTGTTTCAATTTTTGTAGTAATTCACATCTTTCAGATTTTATTTTTATACGACAAACGGGTAAGTTGTGACTCTAGGCAATAAAATATCTCAAAAATTAAATATTGTATAATTAAGATATTTATATATTGCAATGGGCTAGAAAGAGAATAGTAAAAATAGTTTACAAGCAAAATAAATGCTCAAAACATCGAAACTAATTATAAAAAATATTTTTAATAA